TGATAACCAAGGACTACTTGTGATATCAGGTAGACTTATTAAACTATGTGTTAAAATATCTGACTACAGCCATTTACTGAAGAAAAAGTATATTTGTCACATGATACTCAAATCTATTTAAGTTTTAGAAAAAAAGGACCCAGCCAGTCACCACTTGGAAACTGATTATCAAGGCGGCTCTCCTTGCATAGGGATCTCCCACACAGTGACACTTTTCCATTATAATTGTCTTTTAGTATCAATTGCCATTCCTATGCAAAGATGTATGTGTGTACATTATTGAATTGGTCTCTCCACCCGTCATCCTTAGTGAAGCCTGCAAACCAGCGTCTGCATTTCCTGCGTCAGATGAGGAGAACAAATCTTTCTCCTTCTGTCCTGGCCACTTTTTACAGAGGCACGATTGAAAACATTTTAACAAACTGCATCACTGTCTGGTTTGGTGGCAACAGCGCTCAGATAGGAGGTCCATACAGAGAATGGTAAGGACAGCCGAGAAGATCATAGGAAGCTCGCTCCCTGGTATGATGATGCTTTAAGCACTATGTGCTTAGAGCTGAAAGCATTGTTAGAGACCCCACACACCCACTTTACGGTCTGTTTCTGTTGCTCCCCTCTGGGAGAAGGTTTTGAAGTATTTCTAGCAGGACTACCCAATTCTGTAATAGCTTTGTTCCCTATGCCATCCATCTGGTAAACTCGCAAGATTCGTTTTTATCGCCATGCACATGTATACATAACCCGAACTAGACTGTTGTTTCTCTGTGTCATATAATATATGTGGGTATATGCATAATTCTGTATTTATTTATTTTTGTCATATTTATGTAGTATATATCGGAGGTGGTAACACTTTGAGAGCTGTATGCAACAAAATTTCATTTTAATGTATGCCGATTAGTGTACATTCAAAGTGACAATAAAGTTATTATTCTATTCTGTTCTGTTCTATTTCTATTCCTATTCTATTAAGAAAAAGTAATCACGTCTGTAAGTGAAACATGCACCATAGATCATTGCAAGCACAAAGCTCACCTTATCAATGGGAAGAAAAGGTTCCAATAAATCTTTTGAATTCCTTGGAACCATATTTGGTTCAAAACAAACCAAGCGGTATGGTTCTGACTTTAGGTAGGATGTAATCCATTGAGCGGCATCTTCTCCACAATCTCTGCCTTGAACATCAAAGCCAAATAGCCTAAAAGAATTGTGAAAGCCATTAAATAAGATCTCTGCTAGACACTACGATTACATTTAATAGAATCATGGAGTTGAAAGTGATCACAGATGTAAATTAGTCCAACTGCCTGCTCAGTGCAGGTTTTACTAGAGATTCTCTGAACGATGACCATCCAATTTCTATCAGAAGACCTCTAACAGAGGAGTAGCCACATTTCCATTGGCTGGCTGTTCATACAGTCAGAAAGTTCCTCCTAATGTCTAATCTAAACCTCCTTCCTTAAGTTTTACCTGCTGGTTCTCATCCTGGTTGTTTTAACTTATTGATTCTGGAACAGCAGATATAAGTCCACTCTCTCGTCTAACTTTCAAATATTTGACAAACTTTCAGATATTTGAAAACTAATCCTCAAAGAGCTTAATTAGACTCTTCACCCTTTTGTTGGCCTTTCTCTGAACTTGCTCCAATTTCTTGGTTGTTTTGAACTGTGCTGACAGAACTGAACAGTCTTCATTTAACAATCATTCATAGGCATGATGGCCTCAGAACAGTCCTGCCACTCTCATATGACTGTATTTTGAGTGGTTGGCAATCTGTTCACATTTATTGCTGTTGCCAAGTGCCCTGTGATCAAGTGATTGCCACTTACATTTCTCTCTGCTGGTTTCCCCAGAAAGTCGGTACAGTAATTCTTCCTTGCACGCAAGGAGCAGACCTCAAACCTGATGAAGACTGGTGTTTTCTCCTCCGCTCCAGAAAGCTCAGAAAATCCTTGGAGGGAGGGTAAAATATTGATTCAGACACTGGCATCCACCAGCATTTTTCCCTCTCCTCCAGAAGACTCAGAAAGGCTCCAGAGGGGGTGGGAAAATGCTAGCAAAGTTTATGTATTTTCCTTCTTTCCCCAAAAAAATCCTTAAGTCCCATAAATAAAATTCTAACTCCTGTTTTCTTCAAATAACTTTCCCTCTTCTCTCAAAGTTCTTTGATCTTTCAAATCCACTTGTAATTTCATGAAGTAACTCCTTTAAATCTCTTATATTTCAGTTTAAAAGGGTAGTCCACAATATCCTTTTCAATTTTTAGATGATTAGAATTCTTTATTGGCCAAGTATGGTTGGACACACAAGGAGTTTGTTTCCGGTGCATAAGCTCTCAGTGTACATACAAGTAATAGTGATAATCATTATCATATTCAACATGAAAATACATTCATCATAAATCATGAAATACAACATAAGATGCAGCACTTAGTGATAGTCATCGAGTACTAGCTAAGCAAACAACATAAATCATACTAGGGTACAAAAAAACCAATAGAAATTGTGAGATACAAGCAGTAAAATTATAGTCATAAGAAGATAAGGATAGATAATAGGAATGATGAGGAGTATCATAGTAATACAGCTTTACTAAGTATTTTGACAGTGTTGTAGGAACTAGTTGTTAAACAGAGTGACGGCATGGGGGAAAAAACCTGTCCTTATGTCTAGTTGTTCTGGTGTGCAATGCCCTGTAGCATCGTCTTGAGGGAAGAAGTTGAAATAGTTTATGTCCAGGATGTGAGGGATCAGTAGATATTTTCACAGCTCTCTTTCTTGCTCACGCAGTATACAGGTCCTCAATGGAAGGCAGGCTGGTAGCAATTGCTTTTTCTGCAGTTCTAACTATTCATTGAAATCTGTGTCTTGTTTCACTGCAGTTCCAAACCAGACAGATATAGAGGTGCAAATAACAGACTCAATAATTCCTTTGTAGAACTGTATCAGTAGCTCCCTGGGCAATCTGAGTTTTCTGAGTTGGCGCAGGAAGAACATTCTTTGTTGTGCTTTTTTGATTACATTTTTGATGTTAGGTGTCCATTTTAAATCTTGAGATATTATAGACCTAGAAACTTGAAGGTCTCTACTACTGATACTGTGTTGTCTAGTATTGTAAGAAGTTGTAGAATGGTAGAGTTTCTCCTAAAGTCTACTGTCATTTCTACAGTTTTGAGTGTGTTCAGTTCAAGATTGTTCCAGCCATACCACAAGGCTAATTGTTCAACCTCCCATCTGTATGCATGTTGTATCATCTGCAAGGTTCAGTACTTTAACAGAGGGATCTTTTGAGATGCATTCATTGATATATAGAGAGAAGTGGAGAGAGCACACAGCCCGGGGGGGGGGGGGGGCTGTGCTAATTGTATAGGTATCTGATGTGATTTTGCCTAGCTTCACTTGCTGCTTCCTGTCTGTGAGAAAGCTTATGATCCACTTACAGGTGTGGTCAGGCATGGTTAGCTGATTTAGTTTAGTGAGAAGAATATCTGGAATGATGATATTGAATGCCGAACTTAAATCTACAAAAAGGACCCTTGCATAGGTCTTTGGAGATTCAAGATGTTGTAGAACAGGGGTGTCAAACTCGCAATGTCACGTGACGTGTCACGACGTATTGTGACTTTTTTTCTATTGCCAGCAATGGGGTGGGCGCGGTTTCGCCGCATCTGGCCCGTGGGTTGGCAGTTTTGACACCCGTTGTAGAATGTAGTGCAGAGCCATATTAACAGCATCATCTGCTGATCTATTTGCTTGGTAGGCAAATTGCAAGGGGTTTAACAGCGGATCTGTGATGGCTAGCACTAACCTTTCAAAGGTTTTCATAACTGCGGATGTCAGAGCAAATAACTATCAAAAAATGGTCATCCAATTGCATTTATAGATCCAGTATTTCTATTTCTTTAAACTGTAATTGTTAAACCCACCTTAGAAACCACTTCAATTATTATCAGAAGGATTTTGTTCTTCATCTTGCTTTAACTTTTGGTTCCAGTAAGAAGTGAAAAAGTTCAAGTGCTTCACGGGCCATAAACCAAACATTTTCTTTAAATTAGCCATCTTGTGTTCTACTATCATTGTTGTGCAAGTGATATGTAAACAAGACAGATTTTTCCACACAGAAGGCTCTTACTAATTAACTTCAAAGTCTAACTTGATTTCACAAAGCCTTAGCATTTATAAAAGCTTTACAGAAACAATTCTGAAATCACCTCCTTGTGTATTTAAAAGAAGTTACAAAAAATAAAGATCTTACAAAGCTGGAAATGTGTGATGCTGCTTCTTTTTAAATGGATTGAATAGAATTCCATACAGCAACTAGTAGACTTCCAAGATTTTTCAATCTTAAAGGAGCAATGAAGGTAAAATTTCAAAATAATGAAAAGGATGAGGTTTGTAGAATCTTGAGTCCTGAAAGACTGCATTTATGGCTCAAAGTATGAGGGAATTCATAACTTCCAGTGATTGCGGTCAGTTGCAAAAATGATGGTTTCTACTGTCTACTCACAAAAATCAACTGTCTGAAGTACATATCGGCAATCTCCAGATCTCACCTTCTTCCAGAGAAAATTTTGGCAGTCAGGACCTCATTTGCAGCTGCCTATTTGAGCCATAATTCCCCCACAGGCATTGATTCTGCCTTATCGGAAGTGTTCTCCAAACAATCTTTAAGTAAAGTAACATTATGTTTTTGACTGGTATGAATGATGCATGTATATATGAATAAGGGTTGGAGAAGGGGATGGAAACTACATCCTTATAACATTCAAACATAAGTTAAATGATAAACTGTGGGTGGGGTGGAAAAGAAAGACACCATGCCAGAAAATCTACAGCAGTTCAACTCATAATAAAGGGAAGCTTATCCATCTTGCTTCTGAAACGTAAAGAACTAAAGGCAGGAGTGATAATGTGACCTGCCCTTCTGATGATAAATTACATTCACTAGGGCACCATAGGAATGTTATGTGGAGAAAGTTTATGAATGGACAAAAATAGTTAAGTTTGATTAAAAGATGTGATTCTCTTTGTTATTCTGTGTTGGTTTTCTATGCATTCTTAATAGCTCCAATTAAAATGTGGATTTTTATCTTAAATGTTTACTTTAAAATAGCATTAATCAGTTGTGAATATCTCTAAGCAATCTGTGTTAAATTGAGAAGTACATTAAAGGAATAGATTAATTATATTGGACTTTTGAATCAATCTGTTGTTGGTATCCCCATGAAGGACTTAGATCCTAAACTGGTTTATTAAAGTCAGTTGGCCCAAGACTAATACAAGGGTCAAACTAAATGAGGTACAAGATATGTGTGACTAGCATTTTCTAGAAGGGACTAGTTTAGACTGGTTTTAAAATGGAGAACTGGGAAGAGTTTTAATTTTGTACTTTTTTAAAATATAAGTCACTTTTCCCCCGGTTTCTCAAGAAGTTAAAAAAACATAAAAGAAAAAGCACCTGCAATTCCGTACTGGATTTTTGGTTGACAATCTGACTGGAATTTGACAATCCTTCATTTCTGGACCACTCAGAGTCAAGTAGCCATTTTGATTGGTGATAGAGACCAATACTAGTCGAGGCTCTTGTCGAGCAGTCACCATGTGTCCATCTTCTTTTATCACAAGCCAACATCTAAGTTAAAAACACATCAAAATATTCTAAATACTGAAAATCAAACTTATCTTTCAAAAGGTAACTTATGCTAAAACATGAACAGTAGACTGCCAATTTAGCATTGCCTTTTATTAATTTCCATTCTGTTTCCAATGAATGAATGAAAAAATCTTCTAAAAATATTAAGTGTAAATTGCACATGTTTGCTTTTAAGAAGTAAAGGCTCAGAGTATACAAGAAAAGGGAGAGAAAAATCCTGGACAAACATGAGAAGCTGGCATTGCAATTAACATTCAGAAAATATATCCCTATCCTTGTTTGGATTGTAAACAATAAACTGGGTCAAATTTTTACAAGGCATCCCACATTCTTCTGTTATCTTTACTTTGTTAATTCAAGAGGCTTAACATCAAGAGGGGAAAGGAATGAGAGGGAATTCAATGCCACTTTCCAGAAGTAATTTTGATTTCTGTATTAAAAAAAATCTGTATCTGTACATGCATAGGCATCTGCAATGTTTGAAACTCTTGAACTATCATAATTTAATCTTGATCAAAGCAGTAAGGTATACTATGGAGTATATCAGAAAAACACAAAATTGAATCATAAAAAGGGGGCATTTAAGTTATGAAATCCAACCCCTTGCTTTCTGCAAAAATTCTACAACTCATTAGTCTATAGCAAGTTATTTATAGATTCCCATCACATAACTGAGGATAATTCCTTTGTAGTCACTCTTAATTTGAAGTATAGAAACATTCACTGATAGTAAAACCATTCTTCTGATACTGTTTTAATTCGGATTCAATGTTCTTTCGTCCAAAGCTTTTATGAGATGATCTCTATGTCTCAGCCACAGGTAATTTATAGATATCTAAACATAACCAGTTTCCACTTATACACTTCTCAAGTATTTCTATTATTACATATTTTTTAAGTTCTTCCAAACCGCTTTTAAAACAATTGAAAGGCATTTCAAAATGTGAGTCAAAATGGCCCAGGGAAGAGGCGTTATCTGTTTGTTTTCAAGTAGCGGTGCTTGTGCACACAAACTGGAAGTGCTGTCAAAACATGCTCTCATTTCACCTATGCAAACCAGCTTCAGCCTTGCCAAAATAAAGTAGCAGCCTGGTTTAGTGTCACAAACATTAAGGACCTCCATAGTAAATGTTAATCTTAAAATGAAACCATCTCATTTTTTTCTTGCTTAGCCATATCCCCGTTGAAACCAGTAGTTTTACTTGGGGGGGGGGGGTGTCCCACAAATTCATGGATTATTTTAGGGAATCACAATATACAAAGTTTAAGAATTCATTTTAACTGATTTTTGTTTACCCGGTAAAGAAAGAAACACAAGAAGGAGCAAGAAAATTCAGAGAGGTCACCAAGGAAAGAAGCTTATCTAAAATTGCCAAATTTGTTCCAACAAACAAAAACCCTGCCTGGAAGAACCACTAATTAATGCACAAACACACACCAGAAAAAAAGAGAAAAATATGTGGGTACCTTTAAACCTAATGGCTTTTGGATTAATGCCTGACAAAAACTCAGCCGCGGAGGTTTCTAAACCAGGGGTTGCGATTTCTTGTGTTGCTTGAGGATGCAGCCGGTTCGAGAACGTGACCCGAAATGCAGAGCAGCTACACCAAGTATTAGCAATGCCAGGAGTTTGCTTGAAACAACGCTGCATTAGGCAGTAAAAGCTGCTCCTTTCCCAGCAAAAACGACAGACTTGGACAGTTCTTGGCATATTTATCTCATGGCCCCATCCCCACACGACCCCGCATCCCTACCTGTCGCGCAGATCTCCGTTCCGGAGCCCCAACTTTGTTACTTCGGCCTGCTGCACGGCTACGCCCTTGCAGGACTTGATCGGGTAGATGAAAAGCCCGGACACCCTGCCCACCTCTTTCAACCTTAGCGGCCTTCTGCGGTCCCTCCATCGCCAGTACCAAGCCGCGGTCATTCCCAGCGTAACCAGCACAGCCAGAGCGGCGGAGGCGGAGAGCGGGCTAAGCCCGAGCTTCGTCAGCGAAAACGAACCGGAGCCCGTCATGGCGACGACGCCAGCAGAACCGCGCAGAAACAGCCCCGTAACGGCGGGGGGGGGGGGGCGGAGGATTTTGAGAGCCGCTCGTTTGGGACAGGCGGAGCTACCCGTCTCTTCAACCCTCCGGAGGCCGGAGAGCGAGGCCGGCGCTCGTTGGAGGAAGCCTATTGGGGGGAATGGAGGGAGGGGCAGAGAGGCCGTGTTTAATTAGTGGCTGGGTCTCTTCAGCGGGAGTGTCTTGGTTGCTCCTTGGCTGGCCGGCCCCTGAGCACATCTGGGTTTTTAAGGCATATGGTACCTAAAGCCAACCTCGGAACGCCTGTCGTTTACTAGAAGACAGGCTAGGGCAATGATGGCGAACCTTTTAGAGACCGAGTGCCCGAACCGCAACCCAAAACCCACTTAATTATAGCCGGGTGCCAGGTGGGCGTGGCCCACTGGTGGGCATGGCTGTGGTGGTCATGGCAGATTGGGTGGGTGTGGCCAATGTGGGCGTGATCACCTCAATGTTGCTTGTGGGGAGGGACGCCTGTGGGGGCCAGGCAGGGTTGGGGGAGATCCAGGGGGTCTCTGGCAGGTGGGGCGGTGGGCAGGAGGCTCGTCCTGCAGGGAGAGGCAAGGCAAGGTGAGGCAGGGCGGGGGTGCCATTATCACAGGGCAAGGTGAGGCAGGGGCCGGGGCAGCTGCTGCCTGACACCATTGGCCCCTGCACATAGAGGCCAGCGAGCGTATGGGTGCTGGGATGCATCCAGCCACGTGGGACCTCGGCGAGTTAGCGGGTGGCTGGTTGAAGAGGGACAGTTGCCATCTCCGGGGCATGGTGCACGTGCCCACAGAGAGGGCTCTGAGTGCTGCCTCTGGCACGTGTGCCATAGGTTCGCCACCACTGGGCTAGGGCCGCGTTAAGTATTATGCGCCAGGATTTAAAATGAAAACAATTGAATGCAAGTGGACCGCTGAATTTCTAATGAGTTCAGTGAAGGAAAGCGACCTTCAAGGATTCTTCCAACTCTGCTATTCTGCACGAAAGCGTGACGGGTTGGTTTTAATGCTTCAGCTGCCTTCATATCAGTAATCGGATATGTTGGAGCAATGTGCACCCTGGGGATCTCAAAAAGTAGCATAAAAGCGGCCTAGATCAGAGTCCAGCTCCTGTCAGCATTTTCTCACATGAACACAAAGCTATATGACATGTAAATCTAGATATTTTCTCCACAACTGGTTTAAAACGTCCACATAGACAGGTGCAAAAACAAGCTGGCTTTCTGGATTGTTAATCTCTTTTTGGCTCAGTAACCAAAATGTCGCAATCCATCTTGATGGTTTGCCAACATACGACTGCTTTTCCATCCAGAATTCATTTTCTCTTTCTCAACAACAAACTGATTGCAAGAAACATGCACAAATGATGGTACTGTAATAAAAAAAAAACAGCAATGCTGCTTGGCTTAATATTTCTGCAGCAGTTCAGGTTAGCACAAAACTATATTTCTTCTCTTTCTCCTTTTTATGTTTAGAATTCATCAATTTACAAGATTAACATTTAATTGGAAGGCAAAATGAACCAGATTAGGTAAAAGCAGGGTCTCTGTGAGTCAAAAGCAAGTTTGAGAGACACAATGTTTATTGAGTATGTGCAAACAAAGCAGGATTGCAGCATAATTTAGCTCTAATCTCTGGACAATCTAGCTGTTGATTTGCACAAACCAGCCCCAGGACACAATATTATAGACCTTGGAAGCTCAGCAGCATTCATGGGGGAGGAGCTATTCACCCTTTTGCCACAAACGTAGTTTGGGAACGTTTTCTTCAATGAATAAATGAACAAGTATCATATTTTTTATTCTTCATTTGCTCAATTGGGTTATTTTTATCTAATTTTAGGACTTGCTTCATCACAGTTGAAGTAATATCTATGCAAAAATATTGAAAATTCCAAAGGATTCACAAAATTTTAAGTAATATTGTATACTGTATATAGTATGTATGTGTGTGTTTGTGTATCTATGTATGAATGTGTGTGTATTTCCTTCCTTCCTTCCTTCCTTCCTAGATATCATTTTATTTTATGATGACATTGTTGGCCACCAGGAGCCTTTGGGATCAAGCACATACAAATGATGTTTTAATTTTTTTTTATTAATGGAGTTTATCCTTGGATTAGTGTTTATTTTAAAACCCAGTTGATTTAAATAGGATTTATTTCAAAATATATATTCATAATTTCATGTTGCATAATGTTACTTTGCACAATTGCAGCATGATTTTAAATAACCTAAGAAAATTAACTCCCTCATTTAGCTGCAATCTTTAATAAATATAACCTGACTTCCATTATTGGTGATATTTGTCTTACAGTTAAGTTTCTATCAGCTTCTATTAAAGTATTTTAAAATCTACCTAATTAAAAATCAATAAATTGAAAATGTAATTAACATAAATGCAGATACATTCAATAAATAGGATTATTTCCCATTTGTTCAATGACTTGACTATTCTACTGCATTAAAAGTTATAGTTCAGTAATAATTTTAAGGGCTATGGGGATTATACTCAAGACTTGAGACAGCCATTTGAAATCCTGAAGCCTGTTTCTACATCCCTGCAATACTATATGCATTCTGGGAAAATGAAACGCAAAAAAATATATTTTTGTTCCTTTCAAGACAGTTGGAAAGAAGGAAGATTTCTGCTTTCCTTGGTGATATGAGGTCATAAAGGATTGCATGCAGTGGGGAAGACACTTCTGACATCACAAAGAGGGCCATAGCAACAATTGAAGCATAAATACAATAATAATTGCCTTGTGAGCTCAGAGTGCCTTTGGCTGGCTAAGTGGGTGTGATCTTTGCTTGCCTTTTTGACACCTGAGATTTCAAGTGCCCAGAAGATTGATCTCCAGCTCTCCATGAGCCCAGACTCCTGAGCTGGAATTTGAGGTTTCTGCTTTCCAAGAAGCATCTTTTTCAAGTCTTTCCATCCCAACTGGTGGAACTCATCAAGCTAATGTTACCTCTGGAACTATTGCAAGTAAGTTTTTCCTTTGTTTGAGGAGACAGTAACCAGCTAGTTCTCTACGAGGCATCCCCAGATGAAAAGATTCACAGTTTTGAACCGAAGTTGACTTTCATAGTTATTTTTTATTCTTCATAGTTATTTTTAGGGGTCCAACTGGTGGTGGTTGGGACATAGAAAATACTTTTAATAGCTATGCTGATTCACTATTTCTATATAGAAATAATTTTATTTTGGTAACTTCCCAGCTGGTCTACAGGACGTGTTACATATGGAGTTGACTTTAGTATGATAGCACTAAATAATCATACGAGCAGCTTAATTTCTGCTGTTCTGCTGGTTACCAAATGGGTTCCGGAAGACATAAAAAAGAAATGGAGCCCTGATTTATTAGATCTACATTTAATCTTTCTTTTAGGACTTAACTTTTGTTCAAGCCTTATAAGCTGCAAGACAACCTAAGCTGCACATTTTCATAGTTGAGTGGGGATTTGATCCATGATGTTTCTAATCTAACTCCATCATTTTCACCCTTATAGCAATACAGCTCTTTCACCTGTTTTATCTACAGGCATTGCTGTGATGGAGTTGTTTTAATGGCTTCAATTTTAACTTTGTGCTTGCTATTTTATGCCTTACTGGAAATTGTGGAGGAAATAGTTTGGAGTAATTCTATTACATTCCTGTAAATTGTCTTGCAATCTGGTTTGATGAAGCTAGTATATATAATGTTACAGATACAGATACGTTTTTTAAGGGTGGGTGGGGTGCTGTATTTTTAAAGAAGGGATCTTTCAACAACTACACTTTTATAGTGAGCAGGGGCAAAATGATCTCCTTTGGGGGGGCTTCTTGCTCTTTTGATTTTTTTTTTAAAAGGGGAAATCAACCCGTTTGAGTTTCTCAAGAAATTAAAATTTGTTTATGAGGAAAAAAAATATGGAATTTTGTTACCCCATAGTGATATTGTGGAAGGTTTATTAACATCACCTGAAATTACAGGAGCATAGCTGGGATACCCTGGGAAAAGCAGGTGGATTTTTTTTTAATACATCTAGATTTTGTTTTTAGGCTTAACAGGAAAAAAAATATCCCACATCCTGAGATCCAAAGGAGAGGTGCTTATAAAAGAAGCCACAAGAGCTGAAGCAGCATGGGAGACTGGAAGGCTTACATCAATACAGTCCTAAAAGACAAGAATATTGAAGATGTAGCAATTGTTGGACATTCTGACAATAAGTCTGTATGGGCATCTAAACCAGGAGGTCTGTTGGCAGCCATATCTCCTCAGGAAGTTGGGCTGATCACTGGGCAGGATAGAAGATCTTTCCTACAAACTGGGATCACCATTGCTGGAAAAAAGTGCAGTGTGATCCGTGACAACTTGCTGGTAGAGAAAGATGCTGTCATGGACACCAGAACCAAAGGTGGTGACAGTAGGTCCATCTGCATTGGGAAATCTTCCAAAGCTCTTATCTTTCTCATGGGCAAAAAGGGGGTCCATGGAGGAGCCCTGAACAAGAAGGTACATGATATGATAGCAAGCATGAAGGCAAAAGGCAGCTAGATATAGTGATTGCCTGAATCACTTTTCTCCTGAAAGGAGGACATGGAGAAAGTATTGATCCTTGAAATAAAAGCATTTGGTGAACATCTTGCCTATTTCTTTAACTATGAAGTGGGATAGGGATTGCTCTGGATCACCATCCCTGTCTGGAGGGGGGGGGCAAAGAGATGATACAGGTGGGAGGAATGTTTCCCAAATATAAAATACATGAACCACTAAGCAGCAAACTAATTGGGACAATGCTTAAAAATGCTTTATCCTGAACAAGTCCCCATATCTTAGGGTGATACATATCTTAGGGTGATACCAAATAGTCTCCATCAAGGAGTCAGGAATTTGCTTGAAGAGCCAGAAGCTTGGATTCAAGATTAGTTTGAGCCAATGGCTAACGTGCTATTTGGCCACAAGTTTTAATTAGAATCATTCCAGTCTCATCCAAAGGTCTGAGTTAGACACACAACCAGGAACCAGAAATAAGTCCCTTAAGAAAGTTGATTGACCAGCTTCTGATGGTTGATTTCCCCCCAGGAGTTCACTTTATGTATGATACTGTAACCCAACTATTGAGTTACATCGCTATTTGACATTTTTTTATTTTGCTTTTTGAAGAAAAAGAAAAAAGTAAAAATTGGAAAGGATGTAACAATTCTTTGGGTTATCTCTTCTGCCCACAAAGACCAGAGTCTGATATCTTGACAACTCCCAAGTATTGAGGGAAAACCTGCAAGATTTAGTGATCATTGAAATACAATGATTTAAATATACATCAACAATCCTGTTAATTTCAACCTAAATTGTGGAAAGAAGAGGACAACTCCAAAATACAGACATTAGTATTTTTCAATGTTCTCCAACAAAAAGATGATTGTGGCCATCTCTAAATGTCAGTTTGCATTTAAGGAAATACTGAGTAGCCTTTTCAAAAGCTAGATTTCATGTTTTGCCATCAAATATATTATGCTTTAGATTTCAAAAGATTCTAATTTTTTGCAAAGTAAAAACAATACAAATTAATAGAAAAAAGGAAGTTAGGAAAAGTAAATAGAAACTGATAAGCAAATAGCAAAGAAACTAAAGAAAAAATGAGAAATAAAAAAATGAATAAGCTAACAAAGCTTTCAGATTTTAATGTAGAAAATCATAAACAAAAGAGCCAAGTGAAGTCTGAATCGTTTTTAAACTTTTCTTTGATAGAATACTTCACTATTAGCAGCTCAAATAGTACCACTTCTTTGCAATGCTATATTTCAGTTGTTTAAAGATTATTTAAACCCCATGTATTTTATGAGCTGGGCCAATGAAGTCAAACGGCCTTATAATTCAAGGGTGCGCCTTACAGACATATCCTTTAAAGTTTAATCTTTTATTAGTGTACTGTAGTTGTTTACTTGGGATGGCTATGTTAAAACTCGGGTGTTTCCTTAATGTCTGTGGAGATTATCAGCCATCCAGGTCATAGCTGTTTCAAAGGTGCTTTTTCAAGATCTTATTTCATCAGTCCATCTGCATTTGAAAGACAAAGGTCACGCTCCAGCCACATTTCCACTTTGATACAGGTGACCCTAAGGGCACAAATAAACCCCCCAAGTCGCTTCAAGAGCTCTCAGGGAGAGTGCTAATGACCAGATGACTGCAAAAAATTATGATGCTCCCACCCACCCCCCATCCTGTCAAAACTAATCCTTCCATTTCCCCCCCCCCATCCTGCCGGAACCAACGAAGCTTCTTGGATGAGAAGCAAAAGGTTTCCTAAGAAAAAACAGTCCAGTTGCCTTTTGAAAAAGCACCTTTGAGATAGTGTAGATTCTGTGTGTATATGTTTTTAAATGAAAAGCAGGCGATAGATATATAATATTTACCATCTGAAGACAAAATTCTATTAGAACTATACCATTATTTCACGCTGCCATGTTTCTTTTGTGCAGGCATCGCAAATTGGTCTTTCAATATCTATTCTTTCTGCATTTTAAGTATAGTATGGTTCATCTGCTATTGTCCTTCACTTACTTTTTGCTAAATTTCTTTCATCATCATTTTCTCTGAAAATGTTTTACTTCTCATCCAAAAAGTTTCAGTTTTAAGAACTATTTGCTACAATTTATACCCTCCCCCTCCCTCTCAGGTAGTATAGTTCTCAGAAAGGTTTGTTGTTTTTCAAGGAATTGGGGGAGGGAGAAATCCTGTGCAAGTAAAATAGGGAAAATGACAATGAACAAAATGTATTCCCCCCCCCAGTATACAAGTAGTGGAACAAGACAATAGAAATCTTATTTTATGGGACTAAAGGAAATGATAAAAATATCTATTCTTCCATTTTTTTCTCTCCAGGGGAAAAGCTTAGTGACTCATATGCTTTAGCTGAACTCAGTGCAGTTATTCTGCAAGTAATTGGCCAATCATAGAGTTAAAATAGAGCCATTAATAATAAATACTTGGAGAAGAAAACAATTCTGCAAAGATAACTGGCCTCACTTGCAGTTCTTAAGAAGTCATTTTAGCAAGTATTACCCATTTTCAGCAGGGCATAATTGGTTCTGCAAAATTACAGAGGCTAAAGGTGGCCTTCACTGGCTGTGCCTGTACCATGTATTATCCTAATTTTGTTATGCTCTATGTAGCCTGCCTTAGCATGGCATGGCATGGCTGGCAAAGCTCTTGGAATAGGGGCTTGGAGAATAATTTAGTTAAGAGCATGGGAAGGAGGCTGTGACATCCAGATACGCCAACTGACAAACACAGTTCTCACCACAAAGGGAGGAGAAGGTAAGGACACCTGAGATGGCAGGCGAATGGCTATGAAGGGACTGGCATGTAGAGGAAGATTTGACAGTCATCCTAGGCTCTAATCCAGTATGGGGATAATGTCATTTTACTAGTTCAGTAAATGAGGGGGTATAGTCTCAAGATATTTTTTTTTTAAAAAAACAATAGTTAGTAAATATGGCTCTAATTGGCCCCTACTAATTGGCCTCTTCAACAAGAAGCTTAAAATAAAACTTTTCAAATCGCTCTTTTAATTTTTTTTATATTTTAATGTATTTTGTTTGGGGTGTATTTTTTGTAAACTCTGCAGAGCCAATGGAATTGGAAAGTTAAGACATTTGTTGATGTAACAGCTTAGTCTATAATATGTAATATTTCTCAAAGATTTTTCTCATTCTCAATAGAATTTGGATTTTTCACAGTAGAGGGTGCTGAAGAGCACTATAGAAATTGCAGTTATCATAATACAGTAGAAATAGCTGCATCTCGTTATCCAGTTATAAAATCCTGAACTTGGCTATAAATCTATGTTCCATTTACGTCCATCTACAGTCTATCTTAAGATTTAACCACTGACTCTACTTTGAAAAAAGTATTTTTAATATGTCTTATTTCTCAGACATATAACCTGGAAAATTTATAAAGCAAGCATAGGCATCCATAAGGGGGAATGGGCGAAAAATCACAAATTGTGCTTTGTGACACAAACTATGTGGCTTATGCACTTGGGGCTGGCATCAGGACTCACATAGGAAGGGCCAGGGTTTGCAGTGTGATATCACAAGGACCTTGTGCATTGATCCAGAACACAATTGATCATGAATTAAACAGGTTCCTATTACGCTAGGTAGATTAATCAGATCATCTGGACAAGAATACCTAGCAACAGTGCAGATAATTATCATTATTCATGATAATTCTGTCATGCAGATGGCCTTGAGAAGAAATATTCAGAAACTTACAAAAAACAAAAAGGGCAAAGCATTCCTTAAATCCTGGAAATAGAGAAAAATATTAGGAAGAGACTTGAACTGGTTCCTCCGATTCACTGCGATATAATAAAAAAAGGAGGAAAATCTCAATCAGATTTGCAAGATTCTATCTCAATAAAGTTTAGTTCTAGTGTGCTTGAGGAATCTGTTTCCTGATCTGGATTACCTCAAAGGGCTGACAGTCTCCCACCTCTCTTTTGCTATTTTCCATTCCTTTCCCTCTCTTCTCCAACTCTGTTTATATGTAATATGCCTTTCTCAGAACTATACTCCATCCACCTGATAAATGAATGAACTACATCTATGAAAGCTTCTGTGAGAAACTAAATATTACAGCAGAAGAAGTTTCTGAAGGTTTTGCCATACAAGATTAATGTAGTCGGTTTACTAAAACTGTTACCCATCTGCTTACTCCAGCCAGGTTAATGACTTTAATGATGTCTGTTCAAAGATACCTATCATCAATCTTTGGAATGCTAAAAAAAACCCCAATCTTCTTTTCATTCAAGATTAATTCCTTCTAACTCTATCCACACATAGCTGTCCACACCCTTTATCTATTATCTCCGGTTTCTTCTGCCTTTGGTTGGGTCCTAAGTCTCCCTCTTTTGCTGTTCTCCTTAGCCTTCTTACCCTTTCTAGGCTAATCCCACCACCTGCCCCCCCCCCCCGAAGTGAGACTCTGGTTTTCCACTTTCTATTTCTATCTGTTTGAGATATTCCCAAGTCAACCCTATCTCCTTCTTTCCTCACCCATCAGGAAATGGAGAACACTTCTGAGATATGTGGATTCCATAGCTGTAAATGAAAGAATATCCCTAGATAAATGTTCGATTATCCATGCAACATTTGGAATGCATCTGTACATTCCATTCCAACTGATTATTCTAAGAAACAGAATGAATTGATAATAGCAAAAGCACTTAGACTTATATATCGCTTCACAGTGCTTCACAGCCCTCTCTAAGCAGTTTACAGAGTCATTGTATTGCCCCCAACAGTCTGGGTCCTCATTTTACTGACCTTGGAAGGATGGAAGGCCGGGTCAACCTTGAGCCGATGAGAATTGAACTCTGGCAGTCATCAGAATTAGCCTGCAATACTGCATTGTAACCACTGCGCCACCACGGTTCAGCATGATGGCAGAAATGGACTCGTTCTTTTCTTGTCCTGCTTTCTTTTGGATGGGACTTTTGAGATTGTAAGCTTGAGGAAGGGAGACTGCCTCGTTTCTTATGGATCTTATATCAATAACTGTGGGAATCTTTTTGACTAAAGATGAGGAAGAGAGAAGGAAAGGAGACTAATATCATTCAATAAGGCCATGTAATCAAATTAATTGGTTAAATGTCTTTAATTTTTCTTTGTAAATCATTTTAACAGATATGTTTATTAACAACTTAAAATACAATATAGCCTTAAAACAGTTATACAAAATAGATTCTGAAACATATACTGAAAGCAGAGGCAAGCAAAAAAAAAAGCGTAACATGAATGTTATTTAAGTAGAAACATATCTTTTGGGAATAGAAATATTGGAATCTTTCTTCTACATAAATGAGATAACTTTTCCATCCAGGCTGTTAGCCCAGCTTCATACTTTTCCATTGAGATATACATCTGATTACTTATTTTTGGTTTCTGGACCATCTCAGAAAGATACATTTTATTAAGTATTGTAATACAAATGTCTGTCCTACATAGGCAGGCAACATAAGATCCTATACAGGAGATTTGGGCTGCCGCTACAACAATTCTGGAACTTGAACAATGAGGCAGAGCTATCCATGATATTCATATATATTTAACATTTCCTTGGAAATTTAGGGTGAATTGAAGTCCCTGCAGGGAGGAACTTTCTCTCTCTTTGCTTAGAAACTAAGCCTTAGATCTTTTGCAAGTAGATTCTCAAACAGCATAATTACTTTGGAATGATGATTCAGTATTGGCCTGTAGGGCCTCTTGTACCACTAAAAAGTTCTAGAGAAGTGCAATCTATTCCAATAGCTCAGTGTCTCTCAATTTTAGCAACTTTAAGATGGCGGGACTTGAACTCCCAGAATTCTCAAGTAGAGCACCTTACAGAAATCCAAATGGGAAAGCACAAAGGCATGAGTCACTAGAAGGGTAAGCATACCTTTCACCACTACAGTAAAGCAATAAGGCTAGAAGCTGCTTTGGCAAAAATGCTCCTGTCTCTGCCCCCTATGAAGCAGCAGCTTGCTCAGAATCTCTCCTGAATGGTGAAAACTGAACCTACAGTCCATGATATCTCTGCTCAATTAATGTGGATTCTGAAACTGCTAGAGACCCCATATTCCGATCTTTTGGTACCATTCTCCTGATTTGCTACCTCAGTTTCTGCTACACAGTCTTTCCTCAAGTCTTCCTCATCACTATCCTACTTTATTTTTTAAAAATACATGGGTGACAGTGCACTCCAGGTAGTGAAGCTGCAAGTTTCTGCACTTAATAAGGAGAGTCTAAGTCTATATTGGGTCCTACATGAAAGATTCATGCAACCACATCTGTCTTAATGTTTTTTGGGGGGAGCAATTAATTTCTCCTTTGGAGTCTCCATTCTTCTTCAGCTCTTCTCAGTTGGTCTGCTTCTTGCAATGCTTTTCTGGATGAACATACAGATGCTCTGTTATTACGTTTCCTAGCATGGTATTTTGGAAAAGCCTGTAGTGCTTGTATGTCAGATTATTAGCCAGCATTTTGATGGCAATGTGGTCATGCCAAAAAAGCAATTATTTCTCTTCTGTTTCCTTAATTTTTCTTCTTTTTCACTTTTGCCTTCTCTCTCTCTCTCTCTCTCTCTCTCTCTCGCTCTCTCTCACCATTCTTTATCTTTTCCTTTTTTCACCATTTTTTTGATTGGACTGATTAATTTTCCCAAGACTAATATATTTTTAAATCTGACCCAGTTAATTAGTTATGTATCTTTGGCATTATTCATTCTTTTTAATTGATAGGTATTAAAGCACTTGAAGAATCATGAAAACTTGAAAACAGCAAAACATTTTACAAAAAATGCACAAACAGATCAATTTTCCTTATTCCTCCTTTGACAAATTGGGGCATTTAAAGAAGATGAGGTGTATTGGAGCAAAGGAGAAGTGGCTACTGTCCTCAATTGTGTTTTTGTTGTCTTCGTTGTCCTTGTCCGCCTCAAAAAGTAGTAAGATCTATCGCACTGATGTACCCGTCCAAACAGGCAAGCCAAGTGGTGAAGAATAGGCTCTGGCCAAACCCTGGAGGCCAAGGACCAAATAGCTGCATCCTTTCTGCAACACTTTGCCCACATTCTGAAAGTAGTGAAAGAACATTATTAGCGTGAGGAAACAATTCCCCCCAAATGAGTACAGTTTAACAAATATTCCTACAGCCCAAAGATGCCAGTTCAGCTCAATTGGCACAATTCTCTCAGATTCCTAGAATATCCATTGCTTGGGAAGAGCAGGGTTAGGTCAACACTTAGCCAAGACGTTCATTGAGTCAACTTGATTCTATCAGTATCTCTTAGGCCAACATAGCTAACATCAGGATAAAATAATAGGGGTTATAGCTTGAGCTACTTTCATGCTGGTTTGTTCAAAATGTGACTTTAAATGCCTGAGCCATTGTTTATTATTGTGATGAAGCTTCATTGTTATGCAATTATTTTCTTAAAAAATCTTAAATATTTTTCTTTTCTTATTCTTTGCCTCCTTTTCAATTCAAATGGTTTCAAAGCAAATTACCAATAATGTAAACCAAACAGTAAATCAACAAAATCATAAAAAAGGGTAAAGAAAGACAGATGAAAAAAACCCACAGAGGAATAAATGACAATTTCTATCAGATTCCCCAGGAAATTTCAGTGCAAAAAAATAGGCAGGATGCTCTAGGACTAAATTTCATCAGTGAATATTGTGGTGTTTTGCATTGTGAGATGGTTTGGAAGGCAATGAATGGATTTTATCGTAGCCAATAGCAGCCACAGGATCCTGGTGCTTTTGTTAGAATGATGAAATAGTATTACATTGTAAACTCTGGTCATGCGTGCAATATTGGGACTCATGTGGAAAAGTGGTGAGGCTTGCTGTGAGGCTTTCATTAGTTTGACCTTTTCTGTTGCCTCCCTTAACCCCATTGATCAGAGGAAGAGCTGGAAGGGGGGAAAGCAACAACATAAAGTTGTTTAATATACACATCCAGATGCCACACACACACAAAGTATTGATTTCCCATTCTAAAATATCGCATTGCTATATTAATACAGCTGGAGGGAGGGGGGGATGAGGACTTTCCTCTCCCCATTCCAGTCAGGGCAATCAGTACCAATTTACAGGATGGCTAGATTAGAACATAAAACAGATCAAAATGATCTTTCCCTTTCCTTCTAAAGCTTTTCAAAGAGGAGCTGTTAAACATTCGGTCACTCATCTACTTTTAATCTATGCAAATGTAAGCTATTATTTTATTGTACCTTTAAGGGAATGATTTCCTTAAAAGAGACAGCTAAATAGGAGAATCAAAGCTGATACAAGGGGCAAAATTAACCCCCAGCCAAGGAAGGAGCCTCCCCTGATTTTGTTTCTGCTTAGTATTTCTGCTGTTGGGCTGTTACGGCAAGGAAGGACCCATGACAAGTGCCAAGAAAGGAAAATCCACATCCCCTGCCTCCTTTGGTTCTAGTCTCTGAGTAAAAGAGTGGATAGGGCTCAGGATCAGAGGGCAAGCATTGGTGATAGGATAGCATGGAGTTAATGTTAGGATACATCTTCTTCTGAAATTTGCAAAAGCATATTTATCATATTTAACTTGGCTGACACCATTTTCTCAGTTTTGACAGAACACTGAACTATAAATCAATCAATAACAACAGGTTGGGTTTTTCCTGTAACACTAGGCTACATAAAAACTGGTTGTTCCATTTGTGATGTGAATACTGCCATAGTGAGATTATTTTTTTCTGCATGTATCTAGAGCAGGGGTGTCAAACTGCCGGCCTGTGGGCCGGTTTCATCATACCAGAGCCATGCCCACCCCATTGCCGGCAATGGCGAAAAAGCTCCGATACGTCGCGCGACGTCACGAGTTTGACATGCCTGATCTAGAGAATACACGTAACAGTGCATCATTCATATAGTATCTGGCTTTCTTTAGGAAGGCAGTGTTAAGAAAATCAGAGTACACACCAACAGAGCAAAAGGCAGTGGCACTTTCTCTTTTTTTAAATTTCTGCAATTGGGAAGATTCATAACACAAAAATATCTGTTTTGCCTTGTTATAGTGCTAGTCATTTTACAGCATTTTGACCAAAGCTTTCTATATATATTTCTTGTACACAGACAAGCCTTAAGGTCAACAATACAAAAGAGAGGGTGTCATAAAACAATAGTACAGGAAATGTCCTGATAGGATTTAGTGATCAGGAAATTGAGATATTAGCAACAATCAAGACATCCCCTGTACTCATGGGGTTACAGGCACTTAAAAATCCTTGCAATGCTTAAATAGCAAGGATTCCAAGAAAGCATGTTTGTGGTCATGTAAAGGGGTGTCTGAGTTCTATCTTACTCTGTTAGACAAAAGTGGAATGACTCAGGAATGTTAAGAATGTATGAGAAAAAACGGGGAGGGAAATCTAACGCTAAGGGAACAAGAAGGAAGAAAAATATTGAGGTAGGTTTATCCTTTTTAAAAAATCTAAGATAGTCGTGGGTCAACATAACACTATCAGTATTGCAGCAATGATAGAAAAAAGGGGGGAAAAGATGATGGTTTTCTTTTTAACGCCATAGTAACATAATAGGTAGCAATATGACAGGATGTACATCATATAAAAGGTGTGATATATAAGATATAAAAGATACAAAAGTATAAAATTTCCACAACAACACAAAACCATCAACTATTTAGGCAAAACTGCCATTGTTAATTTTTTAAAAGAAATAACCTTAACATGTAGATTTTGATTCCTATCAGCTAAGCCGATAGCAAGGGATTATGGGAGCCCTAATTCAGAAGGCCCAAAAGACGTTGCCTGGACCTGCCTGGACCTTTCTTTTAAAATAAGGTGGATAGGAAAATACACACGATCTGAAACATTCACAAAACATCCCACTTCCTTCAATATAATCATCTTATGATGCATCAGATGGCTCCAGCTGATAGAGCAAAGAGCACAATGGAGAAATCCAGGAGATACTTGAAAGAAAAATCCATGGAATCCAAGCCATTGCCTTTAGCCTAAAAGGTACAAGACCAAACTGCCTGGTGGGCAGGTTCAAGAAAGAGGCCACAAGCAATTGCAAGCTCCTCATGAAAATTATCTTTTACTGTGACTTAGATACAAGAATTGCACTTCTGTTACAAGAATGTATACAGGAAACTTGATTACAGGTAATATAAATGGTTTCTGTGAATGAATTTGCTGGATAGGATCCAATTATAGAACAAACCTAGAACTAAGGAGAAATTTCCTGACAGTGAGAACAATTAAACAGTGGAATGGGCTGCCTTCAGAAGTTGTGGATGCTCCATCACTGGAGACAGAATAGAATAGAGCTGGAAGGGACCCTGGGGGTCTTCTAGTCCAGCCTCCTGTTCAAGCAGGAGAACGTAAACCATCTCGGACAGGTGATTGTCTAGACTTTTCTTAAAAATCTCCAGTGATGGAGCACCCACGATTTCTGGGAGTAAGCTGTTCCAATGCTTGATTGTCCTCACTGTCAGGAAGTTTCTCCTTAATTCCAGGTTGTTTCTCTCTTTGATCAGTTTCCAACCATTGTTTCTTGCCCTTCCCTCTGGTGCTCTGGTGAACAACCTGGCCCCCTCTGCCTTGTGGCAGCCCCTCAGATACTGGAATACTGCTATCATGTCTCCCCTATTTCTTCTTTTCTTTAGACTAGCCAAACCCAAGTCCCATAGCCATTCTTCATATGCTTTAGTCTCTAGGCCTTTGATCATCTTAGTTGCTCTTCTCTGAATTTTTTCCAAACTCTCAACATCTTTTTTGTGATATGGTGACCAAAATTGGCTGTACTATTCCAGGTGTGGTCTTACTAGGGCTTTGTAAAGTGGTACTAGTACTTTGTGTGATCTTGATTCTATGCCTCTGTTTATACAACCCAGGATTGTATTAGCTTTTTTGGTTGCTGCTGCACACTGCTGGTTCATAGTCAAGTGATCGTCCACTAGGACTCCAAGGTCCCTCTCACAGTTACTATTTTTAAGCCAGGTCTCACTCAATCTGTATTTGTGCCTTTGGTTTTTCCTACCTAAGTGTAAGACTTTGCTTTTCTCCACGTTGAAACTATTTTGTTGGAGATTGGACAGCCATTTTTTCAGAATGGTACAGGGTCTGCTGCTTGTGCAGGGGGTAAGACTAGAAGACAGGTTCCTTCCAACTCTGCTATTCTATTCAACACTCCCACTATTGTTCAAACTGAGCTAGTTAATTCAGCAATATTCTGAATATTTTGCAATACGCAGAGATTATTGAAAATCTCATGGTTAGGTGCCAATTGTAGGCCCCAACAGAAAAGACACAACTTCTCTCTGATATTGCTGTAATTAATAAAGCTAGGAATAAGAAATAGGTATTCAAGGGGAACGCTAGGGAGTAACATTCAATTCCCACAAGACCCTGTACTGAGAATGAATTCTGAACTAAATATATTTCTTGCTCTAGATTCTGATTGGTGGATTGCAATACAAAGTACAGCCTACATCCAGAAATTTGCCTGCCTTTGGATTAGAGTACTGTATGCAAATATCTCCATATCTCTTTAAAATTGGAGTCCCATTTGCACACTATAGGAGTCAGGGGAATCTAAACATGCTGTGCAGAACTCTAAACAGTACACATAACTTAATTAATCCAAGGGGAGTTAAAATTTAATCACACACAACAATCTTTTAGAGGCTAACTCCATCTCCAGATTAATTAATCTTCTTGAATTGTGTGAAATACTTCTTGAGAATTAGTTAACATTCCTCAATTCCAACACAATATACTAGTGTTTCTTAAACTTTTTTCTCTCAGGAATCTTTTTCACTTTTAAAAATGATGGAGGACCAAAAGAGTTTTTGTTTGTATGAGTTATATTTATGGTTATTCACTATATCTAAAGTGATGCATTCACTGCTGCTGCCTCTTCTCATGATTATTTGATGGAATTTTAATATTATTTTATTGTTCAACATAAGCTGGCAAATAATTTTGATTTGGCAGGCCCCTAATAGGAACTTACAGAACTCCCAGGGGTCTTAGGATCATACTTTATGAAACACAGTCCTAGATAAATTCTAGAAACCC